TTCCCACTCTATGGCGCAGCGAACGTCTTCCTCAATCCCGCGCGATGGCGCGATGTGAAATCCGTCCTTCATTGCACAGTTGATAAATTCTATCTTCTGCACGTCGCCAGCGTCAAGCTCTCCTACAACGCGACAGATTTTTAACGCGCGCGCGCGGGAGCAAAGACGGATACGCGATGGGGCCTTTCGACAAATGGGCTTGCACCCCGCCCACCGCGGGAGCGCCCGCGCCGGCAACTTCTTCCAGTGAAACAACCGGTGTAGGCTGCGCCCCGCGCGTCCACACCGAATTGGTAGCCTGCGCAAGCGCGACGCCACCGCGCGCGACATACATGTAGGTGCGCCGCGCTTCCAGCCTCCTGTCCGCGGCATGCTTCACATGTCACCGCTGGACTCTCAGCTGCGCCTGCGCGCCGTCCGGCTACCGCCGTCGCGCGCGCGCGCACCGACCCGCGCCTGCGCGGCGCAGGAACGTTGATCAGCGCTCGTGATGCCTGGCTCTCTTGGCCCGCGGCTCCCCGTACTCGCCGCGGTCGTTCGGCGCCGCCGGGGGCGCAGGCGGGAACTTGCCCTTGCCGCCGCCCTTGGCGCCCTTGCCGCCGCCCTTGCCGGGTTTTCCGCCGCCCTTGGCACCCTTGCCCCCGCGGGGGGCTGAGCGCTCCTGACTTTCGCGATCGTACGCGGCCTCTGCCTCGCCCAAGAGAGTCACATCGATCGTTGCCACGACAGTTTCGATGTCGAGGGAATCATCACCGGCGCGAGACCTCTCTGCCCAAGTGCGCCGGCAAATCTCATCGTATACGAGCCCCAGCGCGCCACTCCGATTAGCATTGGGCGCCTGCGCGGCCACCTGCCGCGCCGCGCGCGCATCGCACTCGCGCCGCTGGATCCGCAGAGCAACGGCGATAGGCGGGCCTTCATGACGTTCTGGCGGTGGCGAATCGTCGCAGCCAGCGTCATCTGCTCCGTGCAGACGCAAGCGATGGCGTACCTACGCGCTCGGACGACGCCGTTGCTCTTGGGTGCGCGCCCCGCGCGCAGACGCGTGCACCTGTCGAAGGCGGCATGCCATTGCGTGAAAGTGAGCGACTTCGCTTTGACTGGGTTCGCTACGCCGAGCGCGCGCGAAAGGTCGCGAAGATCCCGAGACATGGGCGGGCCCTCATCAGCCTCCTCTTTCGCGCTCTTCGATTCTGCCCAGGACGGCAAGAACTTCTTCAGGTCAGCGAACACAAATGGCCGCTTGATGCCGCGACGCTGCAGCCGCTTCACGTCCGTCTCGAGGGCGTCGACCGCCGCGGACCGCGGCCAAAACGCCTGGCCCACATCCTTCAGAGCGCCTCCTTGCAACTTCGCCTGAATGTCCACGTGGCACATCGGCTCAGGTGCTGACCCGCTCCCGGCCGCGCTGCCTGCGCTGGCCGGATCAGCCGCGCGCTGTTCCTCCGCTGTCAGAGACTTCGCGGCAGCCATCACTCTGGCTAAGAAGGAGCGCTTACCCGCGGACGGGTTGCCCTGCAGTGCGCCGGGATCTGCAAACGCAAGATCACGCACTGACTCCAACTCATTGTCCTGCGCGCGAGGCACTGGCGCGTCGTGGCGGCATTCGCAGCCGCTCGCGGCGCCTGGCATAGGGCTGCGCACTGCCGAAGCCACTCGGCGCCGCGGCTTGTATCATCATGGGCCGCAAGAAAATCAGCCAGGCTCATGGAAAGCGTGGGCGTTGCAGCGCACATCGCTGGTGCGGCCGCGCGCCCAACGGCGTATGCGGCTCGCGTCTTCTGCCTGCGCGCACTGCTGGCTCCGTCGCGTAACAACGATCATTGCGCGCGTCTCCTGACGAATGTCAACATGCTGGGCGGCGGAAACCGGTCGCATTGACGCGGTAATATTGGCGTGGTCGCACTGACACGGTCGCGCTGACACGGTCGCAATGACGCATTCGCTTTTACACATTCGCATTGATACGGTCGCGGCGAGACGGACGCGTTGACATGGTCGCAACGGCACGGTCCCCTTGACACGCCCCACAAGACACGGACGCAGTGACGCGGAGAAATTGGCACGGTCGCAACGACACGGCGTAATTGACGCGTTGCGTTGACGCAATCGAAAAGACGCGGTCGCATTGACACGGCCTTACAGACGCGGTCGCATTGACGCGATCTTACTGGCGCGGTCGCGTCGACACGGCCCAGGCACGGTCGCATTGACACGGCCGCATCAACACGGTCACATTGACGCGGTCATACTGGCACGGTCGCATTGACACGGCCATAGCACGGTCGCATTGACACGGCTTTATCGACACGGTCGCACTGACACGGTCGTATTGGCACGGTCGCATTGACACGGCCCAGGCACGGTCACATTGACACGGCCTTATTGACCCGGTCTCACTGACACGGTCGTATTGGCACGGTCGCATTGACACGGCCATAGCACGGTCGCATTGACACGGCTTTATCGACACGGTCGCACTGACACGGTCGTATTGGCACGGTCGCATTGACACGGCCCAGGCACGGTCGCATTGACACGGCCTCATTGACACGGTCATACTGACACGGTCATACGGAAACAAAAGCCGCCACGGCGGCCCGCGACGCGCGCACCGAGGGCGCCAGCCTCGCGTTCGGCCGACAAGCGCCCTCGGGGCAGCGCGCGCGACGCGGGGGTATATTTACCCTCCCCCCACCGCAGGGAGACGTGGACAAAGAACACGAACAAGACGAGGAACACGAAGTCCATGAAGACCTGAGACGAGCCACCCCAAACGCACCCCCCAACCGACCCAACCCGCCCCACCACAGGCACCGCGGCGAACCGCGGCGCCAGCGGCGGGGCGGCAGGGGTAGAAGGTTCCCAGGTCCGCGTTTTTGTGACAACGAACAAAACTGCGTTGTGTTCTCGCCGAAAATCAGGGTGCGAGCCCCGGGAGGGGCACCTCAATTGAAAAAATACGAGGGTCACCGGAGGGGGATTGACAAGAACTACTTTCTCATCAAAATATTCAACAATATCAGCCAGCGTCGACTCCAAATAGATAGGAGGACGGGAGGAGGACGCGAGGAGGATGGGAGGAGGACGAAAGGAGGACGGGAGCAGGCCGGGAGGAGGAGCAAAATCAAGCAAGCGCAAGCAAGCAAGCGAAAGCAAGCAAGCGCAAGCGAGCAATAGCAAGCAAGCAAGAGCCAGCGATCAAGTGCAAGCGAGCAAGGGCAAGCAAGAGCAAGGGCAAGCGAGATCAAGCCACAAGAGCAAGCAAGCGAGAGCACGCAAGAGCAAGCAAGGGCAAGCGACTCATAGGAATCCATAGAAATCCATAGGACTCGCAATTGGAAAAACGCTGGGGGGTGCCATTGGAAATAAGGGGGGTGCCATTGGAGTTAGGGGGGAGGCATAGGCATAGGCATAGGCATAGGCATAGCCATAGGAATTAGGGGGGGCATAGCAATTAGGGGAGGGGGGGCAACGGACCCATTAGTAAGGTTTGAGTTAGAACTCCTATATGGCAAGCCTATTTGGAGAACAAAAACAAAAACTCGAACCTCGAAGAGCCTCCAACCCCGAACCTCGACCTCCATCAACCCGTGGTCCCCCTGACCTCTGGACCGCCTTCTCCAGGGCTGGTGTTCCATCCAAAACTGTTTTTTGAGGGCCCGAGGCCCGAAACCAGCCTCCACAGACAAAAATGTGGCGACAAACTAGCCGCCTCGATTTTTAGAGGCGCTAGATGTCTGGGAAGGCGCTGGAGACCCAGGCCCAACAAGGGCCCCCAGAGGCAGAAAATGCCTCCAAACATTCTGCCGCGTTTCTTCACGGCGTGGATACTGGTTTCGGGGGCCCCAGACCCTCTCTTCGGTGCGATCCAGCCAAAAGAAAACAGTATTTGTTGTTGCGTCGGCGGCTAGGCAGGGGTCGTCTGCGCTGGCGGAAGAAGCTAACTAACCGGGGGCACCGTTGTAGCGAATTGGCCAGCATGCAAAAGAAGGAGGAGGAGGGACAAAGCGGGCGGCCGAAGAGGGGGGGACAACCAGAACAGAACAAAGTGTTCGGGGAATCCCGCCGTGGCCCCGAGGAGCCCCTGGGAGGCCCAGCAGAGCCCAAGGCGCCCAGACACCTCGAGCTTCGAGCCTCGAACCTCGACCGACCTCCTTCAAGACGCGCCAGGGGGCTCCCGGGGAGGAGCGGCAACGCTAGGGGGCGACCACCTCAGGGAAGGGAACATCGGCCTGGCATCGGCGACACATCGCCGATAGATCCGCGATAGGCCCTCGAAACAGTCGGACCCAGGCCAGCAAAACATCCCTCAAGAGCACGAGACCCTCCGCCGGCCAAAACACGCAGAACATCCTAGGGTACCCTCCCCAGGATGCACAAGAACATCCCACCAAGCACGAAGAACATTAGGGTACCCTCCCCGAACCGACTTCCATCTTATACCTCGATCCGACTGTAGCGAAACCGTACGGTCCTGAGCGGGGTGGGCTATCAGGGCCGTATCGGCGATGAATGGGCGACTGGGGGTCCATGCACCCGCCCACCTTAGCCCACCCCCCCCTCACGTTGCCCCGTGGCGTGCGGGTAATCACTCGGCTCTGCGGCGGCCGTTCATGACGATCTGGGCACCCCTGGAACGCACTCGGCGAGGCGCAGCTGCTGGAAAGCATCCCGAGGCTGGAAAGCCGCCCAGGGCCCACAAAACAGTCAGAAAAAATCGAACCTCGAACCTATCCCCCCTGAGCCTATACCCCCCGACGTTGCGCCTGAGAGAAAAGGAGGAGGAGGAGGAGGAGGAGGAGGAGGAGGAGGAGGAGGAGGAGGAGGAGGAGGAGGGGAGAGGGAGGGGGAGGGGAGGGGGGGGAGGAGGAGGAGGGGAGGAGGAGGAGGGGAGGAGGAGGAGGAGGAGGAGGAGGAGGAGGAGGAGGAGGAGGAGGAGGAGGAGGAGGAGGAGGAGGACTCCGAGAGAGTAGCCCCTGAGGGGGAGGCCGCGGCTCCTCCTCGAGGGCTGCGATCTGCCTGCCGTGCTCGGCCAGGACGTCCGGCAGGGCCCCCGCACCGGGCTCCTGCGCGCGGCCGCCGCGGGGAGGCCGACGGCTGCACGGTGCTCCGTCGGGCGCGGCACGGTGGGGGGGGGCGCAGAAGGCTCGAGCGGGACCGGGAGGACGAGAGGAGGAGGACGAGGAGGAGGAAGAGGAGGCGGGCGGGAGGAGGGCGAGGAGGAGGGCGGGGAGGAGGACGACGAGAGGGGGGCGACGCGAGAGCGACGAGGGGACGGCGAGAAGGGGACGACGAGACGAGAGAGGAGCACGAGCCGGCACAAGCGGGCACGAGGACAATGGGTATGCCGATTAGCGACGGGAGAGGCACTCCGGAAGCGAAATGGGCATGAGAGAGCGCGCGCAGACACGAGGGGAGGAGGGGCGCAATGAACTCGAAAAATAAAACTACATGAACATAAACTTTTGGAGCTCCGTGCGGATCTCTTGGGTCGGCATTGGACTCCCTTCCCTGGCGCGCGGAGCGCGCTAGGGGCGGTACCAGAGGCGCCGCCAGGGGGCGCCCAGCGCCAATCCGAGAAATCCACGTGGAGATCCAAAAGGTTATGTTCATACCACTTTTTCGTATTTCGGCGGTGGACAAACCTCCCTTTAGTAACCTTCCCTTAGCGAAAACGGCCTAGGACCGAAACCGACGGACAAGGACCCGCAAGAATGACGGCCGCGACGCCCTCTCGCGAACACCGACAACGGCCAATTCCTCAATTGACGTGTCATGGTAGGAGGTCTATCAACCTCCGATATTTGATGCACGGGGGGCCCAGACCCCCCCGCGCCGTGAAGAAAGAGCACGCAAGGATTTGGAACGTCCTCGGCCTGTTGAGGCCCTCATCGGGAAGAGCAGGAGGAGGAGGAGGAGGAGGAGGAGGAGGAGGAGGAGGAGGAGAAGGAGGAGGAGGAGAGGAGGAGGAGGAGGAGGGGGAGGAGGAGCAGGAGGAGGAGGAGGAGGAGAGAGGAGGAGGAGGAGGAGGAGGGGGAGGAGGAGCAGGAGGAGGAGGAAGGAGGAGCAGGAGGAGCCCCCGGGACCATCAGAAAAACTGCCTGGGGAGGGGCCCAGACCTGAGAGGGCTGCATCTGCAGAAAAATCACGAAGGGGCGGGGGTTCCTTCCTCCTCCCCCTCCTCTTCCTCCTCTTCCCCTCCTCCTCCTCCTCCTCCTCCCCTCCTCCTCCTCCTCCTCTCTCTCCCCCCCTCCTCCTCCTCCATTCACCGCCCCCCCCCCGGAGGTGTTAAGAGGTGCACCTTTCGGGCACCTCCTGGGCCCCAGGATCGGACGGGCAGGCTCGTGTCCCGACGTCCCCCGGGCGTTGGCTCCCGACACCGCGTGGATCGTTCAGCCTTGAACGATGGGCGGCTTCTCGACCACCAGATCGTTCCATACTGGCCGATTCTGGGCCACTGACGGCGTTCAACCCCCGAACGCCCGCGGTGTGGTCGCCGCCACGCCGGCACGAGGCGGACCGTCGCACTGCGCCCTGCGCAGCGCGAAAGGGCGCCGGCGGGAGGGAGGCGGAGGTGTCTGCTGGGGTCTGCGCAGGCCACCTTGGGCTGTCGGGTCTTGTGCCTGGGTCGTCTGCACCAAAGCTACCCGCCAGTCGGGAGAAGACGGATCAAGGAGCTTGGGTCCGGGACCACCCAAAAATAACGAAGCACAGAAACAAGCACGTCGGTTCTTGAAGCAGACAGGCGCTTGGAGAGCGGATTGGGATCGGGAAATCCAAAAATACAGATTGCCAACGACCGGCGTGTAGCGAGGCAAAATAGAAGTCGCGCCGAGGAGAGCTTGCCCTCGCCCTCCAAAGTTGAAGCCAACGCATCGAGGTGCGCGGGCGGGGAAGCATCAAGCCAAGAGCCCAGTGCGCCTGTCAACGTTGAAAAGGCCGCTCAATGAAAGAGCATCCAAATGCACCTCGCAACTTTGCAGAGGCTGCTCAGCAACGACGCATCGTCAAAAGCCACCAGGCGGCGTCGCGCGAATTGCGACCAGACTTGTGGCTTCTTGGTCAACGAACTCCGCGTATGGCCCTCGCGCCGCCCACTGGAGAAGGCAATCTCGGCGACCTCGGCCGCGACGCGCGAAGCGTGGCTATCTTCCCGCGCGTGGGGGTGGCCGACAGAGGCTTCCCAGCTGGCTCGGAAGGACTCCGAAGCCACAGAGAGCTGTCTCGAACGGCCGGAGGGCTTCTGAGAAGCCCCGCCACCTTCAGAGAAGGCCTGCCCCCCCTCACTTCCCCGCTCGGCGCACCGCCGAGTCTTGTTCGATGCCGACTACACCACGACGGAGGACAGGATCAGGACGGGCGGCAGGACTGAGCAAGTGGCCCATGCAGCGTCGGGTCCGCTGGGGAGAGGCTGTTCAACCGGTCTTCGACGGCAGACATGGCGCCCTCCAGGGCTTTCAGCCTTCGGCGGCGGGGCTTGGACTCTCACGGGGAGAAGATCAAGGGGCCCAAGGACACACAAATAGATACACACAAATCCCAGGATTCTCCATATTTTCCTATATTTTCTGGGTTTTCGTCTTCCCCCCACTTCCCATATTTTTCCATATTTTCCTGGGAGTCGACGATTAATTGTGTCTGTGTGTTTCGTTCCCCTCCTGAGAAGAGTGAGGGAAAAGGAAGACGGGGAGAATTCCGAGGAAAGGGAGAGGGAGAGAGAAAGCTTTACCAGCGACACACGCTGCTGGTGGTAGCCCGTGCCAGCATGTTGCTCCTTGGTTGTTGTCCGAAGTCATGGTGCCTGTTCAGCGGTGACGCGCTGGTCGGTTCCCCGTGGTGGCGTGTCATTGGTACTGTTTCTGCTCCCCGGTTCGACTACACGCAAGAGTGGCCCTGGGCAAAGAGTGACCTCTGATGCGCGGCCTTTTGGAGACAGCGGGGGACCAAGCACGAGCGCGCAAGACGCTGCTGCCGCATCGCGCTCGGCGATCGGGGGACCCCATGGGGCCCGCACCAAAGGTCACTCTGGCGAAAGGTCACTCTTACGTGTAGTCGACCGATGTGTTCCACTGAACGGACTGTGCGCTGACACTGCGCGCCGCACCTTGAGCTGGCCACGCGCCCCTGCGTCCAGTGCTGCCACCGTATCGGCGCAAGAGACAGCGCCGCGGCCGACACGCGTCGAGTAGGGCATCGACTACGGAATTACTTCTCCTTTCAAAGAAGAGAATAAACTCTACCCCCCCTGGCGTTATCGGTCCCCCATTTCGGGTATGTAAATCATAGATGATTCTGACCACATGTCCATCCTTAATACGAATTTACACTATCCCCGGGGGGCTGGTATCGACCCCCCTGAGGTTCCCTTGTAAAAAAATACGCGGGGACATCTTTTGTTCTAACATAACACTTTTCATGAATCCCTTGCAAAGAACGGGACGAAGTGCACACGCGCGCGCCGTCGCGCGCGCATGCCAGAATCCTCCAAAAACCTTCGGTGTCGGAAGGATGTCGCAATCGAGTTTCAAAAAAAACATACAAAAACGCGGGGCTTCGCAACACTGATTTGCTAAAAAAGTTCACGCGCGAGCTCTCGCGAAATCTTAAAGAAACCACAGGTTTTTCAAGATTTTCACAAAATGCTACCAAACGGGCTTCGCGCGCGCGCATGTCGAAATCTGTCGAACGCCCTTGCGCGTGTGCCGTCGCGGGAATCCTCTGCAAAAAATGGGACGAAGTGCAGACGCGCGCGTCGTCGCGCGCGTACGCCGAAATCCTTCAAAACCCATCGGCTTCGGAAGGATTTCAATATCGGGTGCCCAAGAAACCTACAAAAACACAAGGTTTCGCAACACGGATTCTCAACAAAAGCGTGCGCGCGCGCTCTTGCGACGTCGTCGTCGTCGTCGCCGTCCTCCCTCCTCCCGCGTCGTCGTCGTCGTCGCCTACATCGTCCTCTGTCTTTCCTTGTGTTCGTCGTCGTCGTCCTCTTTGGCGTCGTGGTCGTTTCCGTCGTCGTTGTCGCCGTGGTCTTCCTTCCTCCTCCTACCTTGTCGTCGTCGTCGTCCGTCGTCGGCGTCTCGTCGTCGTCCCTCCTATTTCGTCGCCGTCGTCGTCGTCGTCGTCGTCGTTGTCGTCGTCGTCGTCTTCCCTCCTCCCTCGTCGTTGTCGTCGTCGGCGTCGGCGTCCTTCCCACTTCTTCGTCGTTCGCGTCGTCGCCGTCATCCCTCCTCCCTCGTCGTTGTTGTCGTTGTCGTC